CAGGCAAAGGTTGATGGTGGTAGTGGAAACAGAGAGGAATGGATGACTTTAAGAGCGATTAGGCACATTTTCAGGATTTGGTGATGGATCAAATGAGGGGGGTGAGAGAGAAGCACCAGGATGTCTCCTAGATTTCCGGGTGTGGATGGAGGTGGTGCCATCACCTGAGCAGAGTGATGAAAGAAGACAGAAGAGCAGAGTCAAGGCCTGAAGACAGGGCCAGCTTGGGGCAGGCTGAGTTTCAGGTGTCTTACACGTGACAACCAAAAGGGAGTGGCAAGGAGCCCACGGAAAATGAGAGTCTGAAGTTTAGAGGAAAAGTCTGGCTAGAGATAAGCATTTGTAAGTCAACTATTTATTAGTGGTAACTTAAGCTTGGGTGTGAATGAGACTGTGGGAGAAAGTTTAGGGTGAGAGGAGGAGAATGTTGTCAACAGAGCACAGGAAAGTCAGGAGGCTTTGGCTAGAAATAAATGGTAAAGATTTATTCCAAGGTCTTAGTATATGCAAACCAAAAACACAACTGGGCAGTACCCAGAGTGTGTTAAAGAAGAAAGCAAAGATGAGAATTCTTGTAGTAAAAAGTACATTCTTGAGAAGAATCAGTCCTGCATTCTTAGTGTCTATTTAGGTCAAGGAGGATAATGAATATCAGATGGTCTGGACATGTGAACATTGTTTCCTAAGTCCTTCAAAAGGTAGCCAGATGGTTATCTACAGGAGATAGATATAGATAAAGATGAGAGAGAGAGAATATTTCAGGCGTAACTGGAGATTCAAAAGTTTAAGTTCCCGGACTAGTTGAAGCAACAGTAGAATAATTTCCTCATGCCTCAGCCTATTTGATTTTAGTAATTTAGCAGTTTGACTATAGTGACTCCATTTTGTTCTTTATTCTTTTCTCAAAGTGTAGGATCAGGCCTTCAGAAACTCAATATTGAGTCAAGCAGAAGAGTTTGAGATTGCAAAAGAGACCTAAGAAACCAAAAGTGTTAACGATGGCTGTGGAATCCTGTGGAAGCATTTTACTTTCACAAATGGGTGGGGATTTATAGTTAAGGAAAAAAAAATTTTTTATGACTCTTTGACATTAATTAAGTCTCTAGATTTTGAAAAATAGTACCCGAGGGCAAGAGGTGGTATTGTAAATATTTAACTAGCAGGACATTGGAGTACCAGCACGCCCCGCCCCCGTGGCTGGAGGAGGGAGGGGTCTCAGAGGCCCCTGCCTGCCAGGCATTAACCTTATGGTTGCTGGATCCTGAAGATGTGAAGAGAAGCTGGGTCGCAGGGGGCCACATGGACAGGATCTTGGGACAGCAGCTAATTCAGTGATTGAATAGTACTGGTGCCTGCTACTGGATATCAGCCTTGCCTAGGGGTCCTCACCAGCTGGATCCCACCAGCAAATTCCTCCCCTTACTCTCTGCCTGCTCATTGCCCCTCACCAAAACTCTTATTTACTGCAGCAATTAATTCATTATTTCTTGTGAATGGCTTGCCTTTTCATGCCTTCAGGACCTTCCCTAGAATGCCTAGACTGTCTTTCTTCTCTTTGTTTGGCAAATTTCTTTGCATCTTTGAAAACCAAGGTAAAATATCACCTCCTCTGTAAAATCTTCCTTATCTTCTGAAGGCAGAATTAATTGCTTCCTCATCATTGTTCCATGCATTTTATACATACATTTATTATAGCATTTATCACATTGAATTATGGTTATGGTTCTGTCTCCTTCAGAAAGTTGTGAGCTCCTTGAGAACTAGGACTATGTCCCATTTATTTTTGTATCCCCAGAATCTAAAAGAGCACCTCGTATCTGGGTACTTACATTTCTTTTTAGGGGTTGCTGAATTAATCTCAGAAGGGGGCCTAGGCTATCTTTTCTCCCAATTTGCTACTTAAAACTCAGTAACGGTACTGATATATGCTACAACATGGATGAAGCTGAAAAACATTATGGGAAGTAAAAGAAGTCAGTCACAGAAGACCACATGATATATGAGTCTATATATACAAAATGTCCAGAATAGGCAAATTTATAGACAGAAAGTAGATTAGAGGCTGAGAAGACTGAGGTGAAAAAGAGAGTGGCTATTAAGGGGTATTTTTTTTTTAATCCTTACCCATGGATATGCTTATTGATTTTAGAGAGAGAGGAAGGGAGGGACAGGGAGAGGGAGAGAAACATTGAAGTGAGAAACATAATCTGTTACCTGTCTCAGGCCTCCTGACTGTGGGCCAAACCCGCAACCAAAGCATGTGCCCTTGACTGGGAATCAAACCTGCAACCTTTCGGTTTATGGGACAACGCTCCAACCAACTGAGCCACACTGGCCAGGGCTAAAGGTTTTGTTATTTTATTTTTTTTAGGTAATGAAAATGTTCTAAAATGGATTGTGGTGAGTGTTGCACAACTCTGTATATACTAAAAATCATGCGTTGTATACTTTAAATGGGTGAATTTTATGGCATATGTATTTTATCTCAATAATACTGTTATTTTAAAAATAGCTCAGCACTATCTCTCACTGTGTCTGATTCTAAGGGAAGGCTCAAATGTTTTCTGCCAGGGAGGAAGGTGGACACACTGGGGGTGAGTATGGAGGGATACATGCAGAGGTGTGGTTGTTGGGGGGTTGGTTTGAGAAAAGCAGAGGATAAGTGGAAATCAAGTTGAGTACTGATAATAGAATGGAACACAGAATATTTCAGAAGGAGGAGTTCCGGTGAAAACGGAAACCACTTCAATGAAATCAGGTTTCAACAAAAAAGGCTGAGGTTAACTAGAGAAGGTGGTTTTACTTTGAGACTGGTGGCTGAGTGTGGTATCCTCACTTAGCCTGGGAATCCTTTAAGAAGAAAGAACTATAATCTAGATAGGGGTTGAAATTCCGATACACTTGTCCTAGGCATCCAGCAGATCCCTGACGTAGGGTCCTTGAAAGCAGGGCTGCTCTCCTTTCCTTAGTTGGGCCCTGCTGAAAGGTCATAGGTCATAGTGCTTGGCCTGTGCACTCTGGAGCCAGCTGCCTGGGTCTGAAAGCTGCCTCTGCCACTTACCAGCTGCATTGCCTTGAGCAAGTCACTCAGTCTCTGTGCCTCCCCGTTTTCTCTGCTATGAAGTGAGGCTAATGATAATACCTTTCTCCTAGGAGTTTTGTGAAGATTAAGAATTTAGCATGGTATCCAGTAAGTGGTGAGCACTAGAAGAAGGCAGCCCCTAAAGTGAGAGACAGGGTAGCATCTGGAGCCATGAAACTGGTTGCCAGAGAAATAGCCGAGACCGCTGCCAGCCCTGAGAGAGGTCCCCAATTCAGAGAAGAGGCAGCCGCTGGCTGGCGGTCGGGGTGGTGGCTGGGAAGTGATCTGAAGAGAGCAGTGTCATTGCTCAACCCCACCAGTGGAGCTCCTACTTCCTGTTTTCAGTGTCTGTGAGCGATGATGCTAGAGCTGCTCATGTTGGAACAAGATCTTCCTTGGCCCCTGAGGGGGAAATGCAGAGAGAGGTTGAGCAGCAACAGGCTGGGCTGGGCCCCTTAGCGCCATATGATGCCTTTGCTTTCCTAGCAAATTTCAGCTAACACAAAACACATCAATGCAATCCTGGGGGAAAGAAGGACGGGGGCGGGGGGCTTCATTAAATTCTACAAGAATTTACGGGCCTTTGTAATAATAGCAACTATTTTTGTGCCTTTACTAGTTGCCAGAATTATTCTGAGATTTATGAACTCATGAATCCTTATAATAATCCCTGGGAGGTAGATATTATTATCTCTTTTACAGATGAGGAAACAGAAGCACAGATAAGTTAAGGGTCTTTCTCAAGTCACACAGCTGGTGCTAAAGCAGGGCCTCTAGTCCAGGCCACCTGACTCCAGAATTCATGCTCTGAAACCACTGCGTCATACCAAATAAGACGACATGCTAGATTGTGGAGATTAAAAACTGAATACTTTGAGACCTTGCCCTCTTGGGGCCTATAGTCTAGGAAGCCCAGGAGGACTTGCGCCTCGAAAACCCACAGAGAAAACTGACTGTTCATGCAGAGAACACATGCTGACCACACCCTCATAATCTGGCCAATTGTCCCTAAAATATATTCAATCAGAGGGCTTATCAGAAACACCCAAGAAGCTTGTCAAAACCATAAAGCCTGACAGCAGCCCTGATCTGAATCACAACCTTTGTGGGTGGAAGATAGGCATGTATATATTTTTAAAAGGTTCTCAGGTGACTTGGTTAAGAACCACTGCCAAAACCCATTAACATAGCTTGGGAACTCCAAAAGTTTGGCACCCAACTATGTCGCCCAGCCTGCCTTGTACACCCCAAGCCTTCAGAAATTGATGTTTGATTCAGAATATAGGCCTATCTTCATTATGATCAAACAGTTTTAGATTCTGAGCCACCTGCCCTTAGGGATAGCAATGGCAGGTCAGGAGCTCCATTAACATACAGAGGAAACTCAGCACCACTCCATGCACAGGCAGGGTAGACAATGGGAAATTATTTTTTCTGTTCCCTGAGTGCCACAAACTCAAGCTGAGCTGGGTTTTGGAGCAACAATTTTCACTCATCCAGGTGTTCTCTTTGGTTGAGGTCAGCCCAACCAAAGGATTGTTGGGGGCAAAGTGAAGAGAATATGGTGAGGCTAATACTAAAGATCACCATGCACAGTTGCATGCAAGGTGTGCATTGTGTGAAGGCATCAGGCTGAGGAGGGAACTGGGAATTGACACCCAGCCAGCACACCACTTACAATGTCGCGGGCTCCTTTTTATACTTTGTGTGCTGTGGAGGGCCTGGCCTACCATTCTCTTAGCCTTTGATTCCCAAAGCCCCACTGAGTCCAGAGATGCAGCCCCACAGGAAACTCTGGTGTACATGCCACCACGGTCACTTTCTACTTTTTTATACTTTTTATGGGAGCACCAGAGAAGAAACAAAGGCTTCAGAAGAATCACATTTATCATCTTTATTCAAAATTATAAAAATAGATATAAATAAAAATAGCAGAATATAATTATTAAATATTCAGTGTACAGGAGTGGTCCTCACCCCACACAGTGAGGAGCGCATGGACTTGCCTGGAAGATCAAAAGGGATAACTGGCCAAGAAAGGGACATTTATGTGAAAGTGAAACTGAAATTTTAATGCTGGTCATGGGCCATGCCTCAAAATGACACATTCATAAGTGGCATCATATCGGAGACCCAAGAGCCCCAGGAATGACCCATGACCTCTCCTGAGAGCCACTACTATGTGACAACACGGTCGGTACAGTTTAGAGAAATAACTAGACTTTCAATCAGACACAGGGACACTAGCTCTTACTCACACTGACTACTCATAGCCTGTGTACAAGTGTGCAAACATACACATGCATATATAATATTTCCTGATACATTCATGGAATGTCAGAGCCTTTCCCTCAAGGCATTAGTGTCCCTACTCCCCAAACCATTGTTCCCACATTGGCCAAGCTCCCTCAAGAGACCTCAGTTCTGTTACACTTCCTAATTGGGAAATTATTCATTTCCCAACAACAGGCCAGCTGTTGGGGGAGCTGTGTCTTCTTCCCATGCATAGGAGATGCCACTTTTATCCCCAGGAGACTTTAATCCAGGAAAAAGACAAACTACTGGTCAGTACCATCCTGGATCAGGACCACCCCTCCATCCTGGCCAGAGGGGATCTGGGCGCCCAGCACCCAGGCCTGTCACTGAGGGTAAAGCTATTGCTGCTCACCCTGGCGGGCAGCACAAGCAAAACCATCCCTGCAGAGCCTATCTTCCTCAGTCTCTTCCTTATATATAGCTGGTGCAGATGGACCTATTGCGAAAATGACAGTCATCATGGGAGTGGGTGGCTCCCGGGGGGCAATTCACAGGGTTAGGCCATTGTCTTCCTGGGTGTTAGCATGGATCCAGTTCAGGAAGCGTGAGACCCTCGTGTAGACTCCTGGCTTATACTTCATGGCACATTCACGGCCCCAGCTCACAATCCCAGTCAGAGTCGGGCGGTCTTGGATCGTGCAGACCAGGGGTCCCCCTGAGTCTCCCTGTTAAGCCAAAGACACAAAAGGTGAGCCCTGGAAGAAGTTAGGAGGGGGCCATCAGATCCTACCACCCAATCATGCCCGAGGGAGAAGGGAGAGTTTCCCAGAGTCAGAGTCCTTAGTCACTACCATTTCCTACTGTGTCAAGTTTAAAATCCTCTGCTTGGCTTTCAAAGCCCTACTGTCTGTCACTGTTCCACCTACATTCTCAGACCCTTCCTCTCCTCCCATCCTGGAATATGCTGTCCTCATTCTCATATTTATATCTTGCAACTGAAATGCTCTTCTTTCTTTCCTTGGCCTCCGTAAATCCATACTAAGTCGCAATCTCTTTAAAGCTTCCCCTCCATAACCATTTGGTTGGCACTCACCTCCTCCTAAATATCTGATCATTTATAATTCACACCACACCCTGAACACTGGGCTGTATTATTTTCTATTGTTTCTTCTTCTTCTTCTCTTTCCCTCAGTCTCAAGTGCCTAGCACAGAGACAGGCTGATGGCAAATGTTAGGTAAAGACGTAAGGACTGGTTTAAACCTTATAAAACTTGAGCTCTTGATTCTGGCTTCTTGGGGCTTTGGTTGGAGAGAGGCTCCCCAAAGCTGGCAGGGACATGCCCAGGAGCCCTGGAGAGACAGGGGTGATGGAGAGAGGCTTAGATCTCTCACCTGGCACGAATCTGTTTTCCACAGTGGGTCAGCAGCACACAGCATTTTGGTGGTGACTTCAGAGCCGTAGTAGTGGGGCTGACTACACTCCTCGTGGGAAACCAGGTTCACAGTAGTCATTTTCAGCTGCTCTGGATAGAGATAGTCAGCTGGATGGAAGAAACATGAAGGAATTTCTGTTAAGATGTGTCCGTCCAGCCTTCCCACTGGGATTCTCTACCAGGGAGGGGACTGAAAAGTATTCCTACAGGATAAAGTCCCTATTCTTTTTCCACCCAAATCTGAGTTTTTAACCCCAGCTATAGCCACTCACCCCCCCACCTATTTACCTTTATGGTTCACCGTTCCCTAAAAATGCTCCCCATCTGGACCCATCTGCTACCTCCACAGTGCTCCTGTCTGTGTCTCCAGTTTTCCTTAATCAAGAGGAGCTCACTTCCATGTGACAACACTTCCCCAGGATCCTCTCGGCTAGCCCCAAAGGTCACTTACTGGTATGTTCTTTTCCAAAGCCAGTGACCTCACAGCTTTTGCCAGAATAAGCATCGTCCGACTCTGTGGGCAGGCAGATGGTCTGTATGGACCGGGATGGCTGAGCACACTGGCCCGAGCTGGAACTGATCTTCAGCAAGGCTAGAGGAGGGGGAAGAGACCAGAGGGGAAGGAGGTCAGGTGGTCAGCATCTATGCCCTCCAACTGCTGAGGGAGCAGCTGGGTCAGTTAGGGTCAGAGGTCATCCTGGGAGGTGTGCTGGTAGGATTAAACAAGCCTCCCCTGTACCATGCCTCATGGGCTTTGTTCCGGCCGTGACAAAGGCTTGGACAGCCAGGGCTACTGCATACAGCTGTATGAGCTTTTTTTCTAGAAAAAGCCCTGGCTGAGGTAGCTGGGCTGAAATCTAGCCCAATGCTCTCTCAAAGGTCTATATCCTGGGACAGACAGCCTGCATCTAACAAAGGGAGGGTCAGCCCAGGCCAAGCCATCTGCCCACAGGGCCACTGCCACCCAGAGAAGGCTACCTGTTGGAAAACTTAGGGACTTTCCAGGGGAGCACCAAGCCTCTCATATATGTCTGTCACTCCGAACCCTTCCCCACTTCCCTCCTTGTTGTGTAAAGTAGGGTATTCAAGTTCCCCTACAACCGCAACCCCCCTCCCACTTGAGTGCCTTTTTGAACCCTTCCCCTCAGGCCATCACCATGAGGGCGAAGGGTTTCCACTCACCTATGTCATTGTGGTGAGCAAGTGCATCAGAGCTATAGTCCTCGTGCAAGATGAGCTTTTTCACCTCAAACTTTATCTCCCCATGTGCCTGGGAGTTACGCCTTGACTGACCCAGGTAGACAATGTAGTCCTCCTTCTTCTGGTAATTACTGTGAGAGGGGAGACCTGTCAGACAGTCTGATCTCATGAGATCCTGTCACTTCCTCCTCTCCACCACAGTGACCTCAGAGCATGACATGTCCCCAAGGCTAGGGGCTGCATGGAAGGGCTGACAGGGTAGAATTAAAGTAGAATCCTTCGCAGGAAAGGAGAAAAGGATGTGATTAGGGGAGAGCAGGAGGGTCAGGGAGGAGAGTCAGAGGGACATACACGAAGCAGTGCGTTGCGCTGACCACCCAGCAAGGACTGATGAGGCTGCCGCCGCATGCGTAGCTGACAGAACCTCCACGTTGCTTCCTATAGATGGCTGCAAACCAAGGCTGGTTCTCAATGTCGGTGAATTTTCCCCCAACAATCTTAAAGCGGGGCCTCAGAGCCTTCTGGCCACACTGAAACTCTTTTTCAGGAGGAGAAGTAGTAGCTTGTCCTGGAGAAGAAAGAAACGGATGTCTTGGGACGATAAGTAGAGTCAAGTATCCCTCTCCTCATCCTCTGACTTCCCGGTTTTGGGAGGGGGGGGCCTCCATCCTCATCCCTCCTCTGATGGAATAAGAGGACTTATGAGTTTGTCTCCTTTCACCAACTATCATAAACAGCTGGGTGACACTTACTGAGAGAGCAGTCTCGCACCATGCATTGTTGGACAACAGGCGTTACACCAACTTGCACGTAGCACCATGGCCTTCTCCGGTTGTTTGGGTTCCTGGCAACAGAGAGGGTAGAGGGATGCCATTTCAACACAGAATGTCTTTCCTGCATCCTCCTCTCCAAGAAAGAGGCAACCAGAAGCCTCGTCTTTCTCCTGTTATGGCCAGCATTCTGGGAGCTGAAGGGACTGTTAATAAGGGCTTCTGTGAGGCCATGGGGAAGGTCCTTGCTGCCCCCACCTCACCTGCAGTAATTGTGTTTCCCCAAGCCCAGCTGAAGAGCATCAGGTCTTTGGGCATGGTATGTTTTTAGAAGGACACTTGCAGAGTTCCAGGTCAGGCAGGGCCGGCCCATGAAGTCAGTGTTGGCTTTCCCTCGGTAAGAGTGACCATTTCCCTGATAGCAGGTGTTCGATGTATCTGTGGAAGGATGTGAGGATAAGAGAATATCAGAAAGAGGAGGAAGTTTATTTTAGAGATGCTGCCAAGCCTCACACGTCTCCAGGCCTGGCAGGAGACACTGGAAAGGGTCTCCTTCCATCATTTGTGCAGCCGCAGCTTCACAAGACAATGTGTTTATGTGTTTGACTGCGTATATCATATTGTTTAGGGATAGTGTCCCGCACTCCACCTCCCGTTCCTAACCCCTACCTGACCTTGATTCCCACTCATCTCTCTTTGCCCCCACATTTCTTGTGCCCCCTCCTCCCATTTAGAGCCAGGATCCCCATACCTATCTCACAGTGTTCACCCTGGAATTTCTTTGGGCAGCTGCATCGCTGAATGTTGGAGAAGTACTTGTAGGACACACATGTACCGCCATTCAGACAGTTGCAGTTTGCTGAAAAGCACAAAGTTGGGGGTAGGTAAGCAAAGAGCAGGAGAGGAGAGGGTGAGGGAGGAGCCAGCCCTGCATCAGGGACAGGGAAGGGCTGCCTCCTGAGGCTTCTCCAAGATGTCTGTGAAGCCTGGTGTTGTGCAAGGGGGGATACTCACATGCACCAGACACTGGATGAAGGTCTTGGCTGCCCTGGAAAAGATGGAGTGAAGGGGAAAGTTCACCAAAGGTCCCATGTCCCTGGGGCTCTAGGGTGTGGATGACCTGGCCCCAGTCCCAAAACCCACCCTTCCCTACAGCTCCCTCTCTCCTCACTCTGATCACTTCTAACTAGCCCTCAAATGGAAGATCACGGGTTTCCGGAGAGGAGAAATGGATTGACTCAAGCAAGCTTCACACACACAGGGGCCAGAAGGCTGGGGCAATTCCAAGGCCTTTTTCCTCCTTTGCCTGCACGTGTGAACTCCCCCCAGGTTCTCAAGGCCCCCCGCTGCCACACCTGTCCCATTTCGCCAGAGGGCCTGGCCCTGCTGTGGATGGGACCCACGGGACTCCAGCTCCCAACGCAGCCCTTTACCCCCGCAACCCCCGTGCGACTCGGGGGTCCTACCAGCCCCCTCCCAGCGCTACAGGTCAAAGCAGGGAAGTCTTTCACTTCACAATTGCTACCAACCAGGACAGAGAGGAGCAGGCACGCCAGGGGGACTCTCATGGTGGCGAGGCTGGGGCTCCAGGCAGCGGCCCTGCAAGGGAAGGAGAAGTCAGGGAAAAAGCGGAGGAGCGAGAAGGCGAACCGGATGGGTTACTGCAGTTCAGGGCAAACCCTAGGGGTCACCGGCGAGGTGAGGAGAGCCCGCAGTCGTCTTTCCCTCTGGGACTCAGGGGTGCCTGCACAGCCGGACCCGCGCCCGCAGGGAGACGCGTGGGCACGCGAAGCAGGAATTCAGCGCGCAGCCACTGCCGGGCCGGGGCAGCCGGGGCTGGGGGAAGGGAAGCCCGCGGGAGCAGGGCCGCTGCGCATCCGCCCAGCGCTCTCAGCGTGGCCTGCACTCACCTGCAACAGCGGCGGGAGGGGCACGGCGCCGGGACTGGGAGGACAGGTTGCAACCCTGACACGCAGCCTGGTTCTGGGGCTCCTGCCTCCTCGCTGTGCTGCAAGCCCGCTGCGCGGGCTGTATATTAGGACCCGCCTAGGCCCTGGCCCCGCCCCGCCCCGTCCCGGGATCGCCAGGTCCACTCCCTTTCCTCCCCTTCCCTGGGTAGCGCCGCTACCTGGACCCTGCGTGTTTCCTCACCTGTGACTGAGAGTGCGGAGCAGCGTGGTCTCCAGCGAAGGGGACCAATGAGGTCTGAACTGAGAGATACAAAAGCATCTAAATTCCCCGTCCCTCCTCCCATTCACCTGGCCTGGGTCCCACCCGAGTGCAGACCATCCATCCACCTGCACAACCAAGTGCAGAGAGGAGAGTCACTCCGGAGACTCTCTCCCCTGTCCAGGTCTGATGCCTCCCCCCAGCTCTCCTAAATCAGCTCTTCTCCAGCTTCCCACCCTCGACCCCCAACTGCCTAGGAAAATGAATGAGAACCCTGGGTATAGGGGCACAGTCTGCAGCTCGCAAAGCGGCGAAGTCTTTCTCTCAACGTGAAAATGCACACAGCACATGCTCGCTGAAAACAGGCACAGAAACCCTGCTAACAGGGGCGGCTTATGTCGGATGTCGGCTCTTCCAAAATCATCAACGCAACCAGTGGGTAAGACAAAAGAGATAACTGCTAATCAAGGTAAGGGAGTTTGGTAGTGGTTGGGGAAGGGAGAAAAGCCCTGTTGGATTTTATTGAGAATTTGCAGTGTGGTTTAAGGGCAGTCTTTGAAGGTGAGGGCTTGATAAGGATTAGACAAGGGTCGTGATACAGCGTTGTAAAATTGAGAGAACAATATCTTAGGGCACAAATTGTTGATACCTTCTATTGAAGTGTTGATGGATCTTTCAGGAAGTTCCTATAATGAACAATTCTCTCATTTATTTGCCTGGGCCAGAAAATAGTTAATTAATAAAGACAATGAAATAGTAAAGTCTTATTAATGTAGAGAGAAAGCTGTAGAGGGGTAGGAAGTTCTGTTTTCACCTCTGAGAAGAGCAACTGGGGGAACTGCAGGACAAAAGTGAGAAGATCTATTTTACACTGTTCAAGTTTTTTAAAACATCTTTGTACCATCCATTCCAAGAAGATGGTTACAGTTTTTAAATACATGTTTTTTAGTGTTCTACATCATCACAGGGCATTGTTTCCAATAAGATAAAATTACTGCTTATCAAATAAGACTGAGCTCCAGTAAGACTGACCATGTATGAAGGACTCAACTGCTCTTCTTGCCTATGGGCAAGGCAAACAGTTGTGTGACACACGTGCACACGCACATACCCCTCAGGCATGGCTGAAGGAGCACAGAGGGTACTCTGAGGTTCCATCACCGCTACCCCTTTCCCTTAGTGCTGGGAACCTGGGCTTGGGGTCACTTGGACTCTACCCACCAGGACTGTCTCCCTTGATGAGAGGGGAGAGGTCTGAGTCCCTGTTATCCACTAGGGGCCCATGGCCAAACCCAAGGCTTGGTCCTCCTCCCTGCCTAGGCCAAGTGCGTTTTGCTGCCTGACAAACCTGGACCTTGAATCCGGGTTCCCCTGAGAGGGACAGGAGGAGGAAGGCAGGGAGAAAGCGTCTTTGCTCTATTCCAGCCAGAGGCCTCAGGTTGCCAGCCTCTCCTGGGGAAAGTGTAAGTTAACCATCCGGCTTTAGGGAGGCAGGTGACCCACTGCTTTCCATAGTGAGTTGTTCTGTGCCCAGCTAAGCTGCCAGCCTCCCAGGAGATGGACTCAGTCAGAGGTGCTGTAAGTCTCAAAGCCAGCCTCACTACTTCCTCCAGAAGATCACATGGTCTGTTTGGATTTAGAACCCATTAATTGTAAATAAACGTGATCAAAATGTAAACAGAGGTGTTGCAGCCTTAGGACTTACCCCGAAACTCCTCGGTTAGTTATCAGGAAATTCCCAGCAGACCGCCATGATTCACAGAGCTCCCAGCAGTTCTCATGACTCCAGATTACTTGGCTGGAGGCTGTCATGCTGATTTTGGAGGGCAGGGTGACCTCATTTCCTCCCCAACAAAGAGGCTTGCAGACCGTTATGCCATTCTGCAGTGTGACTCCTCCCTCCTTCCCTTTTGTAGCCTCTTCACCTGGTTGAACAATCCTAGAGCCTCTAACTCTTCACAAACTCCCTTTCCACTCTGTGATGTTTGGCACTCTGTTAAATCTCTGTGTCCACCTTTTAGCGTATAGTCTGTGCTGGTCTTTCAATGCTTTGAGGGCAGAAGCTACGTACATCTTAACTATCTTTGTCTTTCCCCCATCATTTGTGCATCCCTAGTTCACATAGGTGCTTTATTATGAATGAATCAATGAACAAGTGGGACCAGAGAGCTTTGGGGGACCCTGGAGGTTTTCCTCCTGTCTTTTTTATTTTTCTCTTGCCATAAAAAATAGTACTGGCATTGTTTCTGTCTTGTGCTAAAAAGCACTTCGGTACAACTCCTTCCTCTTTAAACTCACAATTGTCTTGTGATGTAGTTGGGAATAATTATTCCCATTTTGCAGATGAGGAAAATGAAGTGGAGAGAAGATACATAGTTGATGAGTGGCAAGCCCAGCACTGGAACCCAAATTTTCTGATCCTTGTTCCTGTGCCCTATTCCACCCTTCCTCCACAAGAAAGGCGTCTAAGACAGAACCCTGCGAAGGGAAGGGCCAGGTGATGTAATCTGTTGCAGCTCAGGGGAGCCCTCCTGCTGGCTCTGGAGATCTCCTTCCAGAAACACTCCTCAGGGTGTGGGCTCTGAGCTCCTGGAAAGCCCTTGCTGTATGTAATAGGAGTTAGTTGCTTGCCTGAGTTCCAGGAACTAACTTGGTGGTCTAGGCTCCCTGAAATTTCTGTCATGAGTGAAAGAATAAGGAACCGAATGTGTGTGATTTCATTCTTTTCCTGACTCCCAGAGTAAAGCCACCAGCCCCCTGCCTCTGTGTCTCAGGGGTCCAGACCTCCTGAGTCAGATGTGGGAAGAGAGAGGGAGGGGCCCTCTTTCCTGGAGCTGCCCGTAAAAGAACAGGCAGATGCTATGTGTTCGAGGAGAACCAGGATGTCCAAACTTAGCCCTGAAACTGTGCCCAGGAAACTGGGTCCCTGAAGGACTATTTTCTGACCAGCATGACCCACAAAGAAGTTCATGTCGAGTCTCAGAATGTATTCCTGGGCTGCTATACCAAGAATGTTCAGCATGGCACTACAGAGGGAGTGCAGCATGTAGCCTCCAGTCTGCCACATCCAAGTTGAATGAATGACCTTAGGCAAGAGCTCCCCACCCGCAAAATGGGGCAAGGCCCGCTCTGCCTGTGCCTCTCTTTGCAGATTGAGTGAGGTCATGCTTGTGCGCTGAAAGCATTTCTTCATTCCTTTATTCACTCATTCAACATTTACCAAGGACCTACTATGTGCCAGGCACAGTTCTAGATGCTAGAGATAGAAGGGTGAACTTTGTAAATTCTCATTCCTACCCCAAGTACCTGCCCGCCTTGCCTACCTGACTACGGCTGCACTGACCCAGAAGACTAAGGCATTCTCTGGAGTCCATCCCAGGATTTCAGTTAAGTGGGGACACTGTGTCCTTAACAAACAGTTCCCAGCAACTGGCCAACTGCATGTGCTGCTCGCCCCCACAGCCTGGACTCCTAATTCCTCCCTCTCCTCTCCCCTCTCTGTGGCCACAGCTCTTCTCCTCCCAGCCTACACCTGGAGCAGACAGACTCCTCTGCAGTTCTTAGAAGGAGGCACTGAGTGCTGGTCACATAGTTCCCTTGGGTCGGAGAACTCCGTTTCCCTGCATGTCTACTGCGAAGGGGAAAGAGGCTGCTACTACTCACAAGAGGCACGGAAAGCCAGGTCTTGGGCCTGTAACATGATAGGGAAGCTGCTGAAGCTGCTAGGCCCCCAGTGGCTTTGGAAAGAATGGGGCTGGGAAAGCCACATACTTGCCTCCTTACTCATGGAAAGCAGAGCCTGGGGGGGTTGCATCCTGAGGTTATACTATCTCAGTAGCACCGTGAACAGAGGAGCCAAGTTGGTTCCTCCAGCTTTAGCCTATGCCCTCCTTCCCTTTCTCACCCTTTCCTCCCTCACCATCTCTGACCCACCCAGGCCAGTCAGCTCAGACCACTGCATGAATATTTTGAGACTTGGCCCAATTTTTCTTTTTTTCCCTAACCTAAGCCAGGAACTTAATACCTTAAAGGAATATTGGTCATTGATTTCCAGACTTTCTGGATTCTGAGTTACCACCAGGAACCAAAGCTAGGCCCAGGCCCTAGCTTAGAACTTCTAACCAGAACTTCTGCTTAGAGCCCAGGTTATCATGTTGGATGGCAGTGGCTGCTTAACTGGAAGCTAAAGAGGGTACCCAGGAACAAAGAGCTAGACGAGGAACCCAGAAACTTGTGTTGAGTTGGCTGAAAACTGCCAAGAAGTCAAGGGCATTTAAGGAAATGTGTCAGCCAGGAACTAGTATTCTCAAAAATTTGCTTATGAGAAAACCAACATAACATTCACAGCCTATGTGATATATAATTCCATGTGCTCATGGCTCTCTCAAGCGGGATTCTGTATGCTACTCTGTCTTCAGAGCAAGGGCAAGCACCTCCCTTTCCATTACACAGAGAGGAAAAGAGAGGGCTAATAAAGGGAAGTGAATCATCTGAGTTCATTCACTGAAACTGATGAGATTCAGAATTCACCGATTTTGAGGAACCTCATGACACATTTCCACCCTCTCTTCTCCTATTCTGAATCCTCGCTGCTCCCTTCCTGACCACCCTCAATCCCCACCCTCAGTCTCTTTGTCTTCCTACTTCCCATCCACCTGCACAAAATGACCCTTTACTCCAAGGGGAGACAGACAGCCATGTGACTGAGGCAACCAAGTCGTGGGGAGAGGCCAGTCTCCTTTCTGAAGGTATCACAGAACAAAATAGATGGAAGTCTGTGGGAACCTCGAGAGGGACACAGCACGGGGCCCCTGATATAGGTGAGTGTGCAGAGT